AAACTCCATCATCTGTCAAATTAAATGTAAAAACTTTTTCAAATCCAACTTCAGGTAAAACTAATTTCAATTCAATTTTATGAGCACGAGCAATGGAAGGGAGAGGAAGATCCAAAACAAGTTCCTTATCAACTTCTCCTGTGGAATCTTCAAAAACAAGCTCAAATTCACTTGAGGTTGAGTTGAGTGATTTGATGAAAATTTTCTAATAATTAGGATTTAAATTATTTGATGAATTTTGATGTGATTACATACTGCTGGATCTTCTTCACTGGCTGGGAGTTCCTTGACAAAGAGGTGGAGTTGTGTGGACATTTTTTTTTGTTTATTAATAAAAGATAATTAAGACAGTTGAAGGAATCTTTTTATGGATTGACATGTGTTAAAATTGGATGGTCAATAAATATTTTAAATGTTTTGTAATGTTGGGCGCTCTAATTATGTCATCTACAGTTGCTTTACAATGAGGGTTTCATTACCATAGTACCTATCTGAAACTCCAATTCTAGTATGAACAATCAACAAGCTTAAAGTACACTATATTATTCAACAAGATTAGTGCACTATTATTAGTATGTTACAATTTTATTTACATGATATTCGATTCGTTTACATTCGTTTACAATAAATCTATTCTCTCTTAACCCAATAGGTATGAGAAATTGGAGCAAAATCAACCTGAGTCACAATATCCTTATTTTCACCAGGTCTAGCACAATACTTTGATTCGAAAGCAAGAGTTTCAGGTGTGGCACGAGCTTCAACAAATGATTTACCTTGTTCTGCTTCTTGCCATTTCAAGTTGGCTACTGAACCAGCAGAGAGGATGGCCATTGCTGATAACCAAACGTATGGCTTGTAGAAGAAGTATTGGAAACCAATTTTATGATAGGTCATTTTGGATTTTAATGATCAATTCGAAAGAGATCGAGATAATGTCGTTTTTTTTTAGAGTGGTGAAATAATGGAAAGTTGGCGAAACCAAAGAATTTAAAGTGATGGTCCTTGGGCAAGGAAACCGAAGCAAATTTGAAGGAGAAAATATTTCCAAACGTCGACATATTTTAAAAACTACATGTAAGGAAGTCAGTTACAACAAATTGACATTTTCGACGTTGTAATGTCATTTTTCCAAATTAGCACCTGTCAGCGAAATGTCATACAAAAACTGTAGATAACATTAATGTATTTTATTTTCAATTCTACAATCATTGAAGATTTCATCCCTTGATCAAAAAAACAACTCAATTTCATTTTCAACAATCTCTATTGAGGATTTCAATATCCTAATGAAATATATTCTTCGATCTTTCCTCTTCTTCTTGAAAGATTGCATGAATAGTTCAATTATTTACCATAGTTGACTTTACAATTCATGAACAGAAATATTACTCCACTCAAAAAAATGAATCAAGATCAAAATGCACTGCTATATGATAATTTTCCCTTCCACCGAAAAATATTGAACACCACCATCACAACATGCCATTCTAGGATCATGATTAACAATTCACTTTATATGTTCCAACTCATTAAAGGAGAAAATATGATCAAGGTTTCTAGGGTGTCTTTTCTGGGTGAGGGTTTGGCATATAGAATTTACGAATATCAGAATGTGAGAATATACAATGAGGATGATGCTGATGAAAATTCACTTGTAGTTTTAACATTTATTGAAATTGGAGAATTGAATGGTTATTTCTACATGTTTTCCGAATCTGAAGGAAGTGGCAGGAATTTAGAACAGGTTCATAGGTTGAAAATTATTGAAGAGAATAATGCTTCTTCGATTCAAGTTGAGAGAATTTATAAGAGTTTTGAAACTTCGTATGTGAGAATTCTGAGTCCATTATTAGCAGATAGAGAGAGGAATTGTTTTTACTGGTTTGGTGGATATAGGATTAGAAAATCAACCAGTTTGAAGGATTGTATCAAGTTTAATGTGGAAACGTGTGAATTTGAATTTTTGACAAATTTTCAAATGGGATTTGTTTTACATTCTCAATCTTCATTGTT